GTCCCCAGAGTGGCTCAGGCCTGTCCCCAGGCCGGCCCCCAAGCACCCGTGTCCCCAAGCCTTGTGCAAGGGGTGAGCGGGGCTGCCACCCACCTGGGTCCCCCCAGGGAGGGTCCCCCCAGCCACCCTCACCCCGCGGGGACCAGGCAGACCACTGTCCCCTCTGCCATCACCGGTGGCATCCTTTGGAACGGAGCCTGTCACTGTGTGTCCCCTGGCTCTGGTGACAGCCCCTGGTGGGCAGCAGGATGGGGGGGTTGGGGCACCCTCAGCACGTGGCCCCGCTCGCCCCCCAGCCAGGCTAGGCCCCAAATCTCCGTACCAGGCCGGGCCCTCCCCTTAATGAGCCTGATTAGATTATCTCCCTCTGAATTTAGGTGTAATTAAACCCGGGATTAGCTTCTTCAGGCAGAGCAGAGCCCGGGGCTGGCAGCTCGCCTGGGCACCGGGAGGGTTTTGACTCCGGACCCCGGACCCCGACCTGCCCCCCCAGGTCATCGCCCCTGGAGTTTGCCTGGGTCGAAAAGGCACCGATAAGATAAAAGTGTCACCCCAGCGGTGGAACCCGAGGGGCAACGTGAGGTGAGGGGGACCTTGGTGGCACAGCTACCCTGCAGGTGGCCCCCAGCCAGTCCAGATGGGCAACCTCAGCCCTCAGAGATTTCCTGGCCACTGCCAGGAAGAGCTAGACAGGGGTGGGGGGCTGGTGGGTGCCCAGAGCTGGGAGCTCATTTGTGCCCAGTCCTGGGGGTCACTGGTACCCAGTCCTGGGGGCTCAGTGGTGCCCAGTCCTGAGAGTCACTGGAATCCATTCCAGGGGTCATTGGTACCCAGTCCAGTGCCCAGTCCTGGGGGTTGCTGGTACCCAGTCCCAGGTGTCACTGGTATCCATTCCAGGGGTCAATGGTACCCAGTCCTGGGGCTCACCAGTGCCCAGTCCCAGGGCTCAATGGTACCCAGTCCTGGGGGCTCAGCAGTGCCCAGTCCCGAGGGCTCATAGGTACCCAGTCCCAGGGCTCAATGGTACCCAGTCCCAGGGACTCACCAGTGCCCGGTCCTGGGGGTCACTGGTACCCAGTCCCAGGGGCTCAGGAGTGCCGTGGGGCTGGGGGTCACTGGTGCCCAGTCCCGGGGGTCACTGGTGCCCAGTGCCAGGGGTCACTGGTACCCAGTTGTGGGGGCTTAGCAGGGTCCAGTCCCGGGAGTCACTGGGGCCCAGT